GGTGGTTCAATCTCATGTGCACACAGTCCTGTCACTGACGGGAGTGCTGGGTTTGATCAGAAATCCTGCCTACTCCAGCCCATGAGTTAAGAGACAGAATCCCCCCAGGATGAATGTGTTATTTGCTTTTCCAATCATTCCTCAGAATAATACTACTAGTACTTCCAATCAGGTTGGGCTTAGGTGGCTATATCACCGTAGTGATGTTCCAGGATTGGTAGCTGAGAAAAGGTCTTCTCCATAAAAACAGAAAAAATGGAGGGCGAGCGTGGGGAAAGGGCTTGGCCGCTCCCTCTGCTGCTGCTGTTGCTTATTCACAGCACGTTCCCAGAGCTTGTGCAGCTGACGCGCAGCAGACTTCTCGTTTTTGTTCAGGTCTGGTTTTGATCTGCAGCGTTCAGGGATGAGCAATTCCTTTCACGTTATTTGCAAACCTTGTCACAGCCTGATTGCAGCATGACATTGATGACAGACTGATTATTACTTGTCTCAGAAAGCAGTGTAAGAACATATTGGCTTTCATGCAAACATCCAGCTTGTCATTAGCGTACGGTGCAAATGGCAGCGGTTTTATACCGGAATCCTGGAACCATAGGCAAAAGGAGGCATCTCTGTTTCTATTGATTCTGGAAAGATTTCAATAACATTTTAGGGGCAGTTTTTGTTAAGTGAGATTCCTACAGCACCGAGAAAATAGTCTGAAATTTCATTGATTATTTTGAGAGACATTTATTCCAGTAGGCTAGACAGAAAAAATTAAGAAGGGATATAAAATAATATTAAAATGCATAAACTTTCTTTTTTAGTAAAGCAAATCTACTAAAGCTTAGAAGTGAGTTCAGTAGCAAAGTTCTGCTTACTTGGAAGCCCTAAGTAGTAACTAAGTTTTGATAATTTTTCAATAACTCAAGCCAGACACACCCAGATGAATAAAGTAGCTACTTGTGATGAGAATTAGACCTTACAGTAGGTATTTAACCTTTTCAAACCACAGGAACGCAATTACGTTAAAGAAACATAGGCATTCTGAAACCCTTTCTAGGAATTACAAACTCTATGATTTCAATTTTATATATGAGTCATCAAGCTTACCTGAATGTCTATTTGATACTTAAAAAAAATTATTGGTTGGAAACTAGTGTTGTCTACAAATAGGATATCACATTGTCTCCCTACATGTGTTCCATTTGCTATTTCTTTCTTCTCTTGGTAGAAAAATAGGGGATAATATCATAATCACAGGCCAGAGCTACTCATTCACAGAACGAACCACCACCTCAATTTCTTAAAAAAATACTAACTCTACAAGGAGATGACATGTTTTAAGCTAATTGCAACTTTCAATTGAAAAGAATATGTACATGGCAATGTTTAAATAAAATATGTAAATAGGTTTTTCATGAAGATCTTTCTTAATATCTATCCTAAACGGCAATCATTGATATTAATATATACGTTTATTGTCCCCAATTTTTACGTAAACTGAAGTGGGACTCAACATGGTATATTCTTAACTGTGTGGGTGTTTGTTTTTTTTTCCATAATGACATTAGAAGCCATGGAGATAGGACTTCAGGCAGTTCTGAATTTATATCTTCCTTGGGATGGTAAAATCTCAGAGGTGACTGGAATTGACATCTGATATATTTTCTCATGAACGTGCTTGAACTGATCTATGTTAGCTCACAAACTGCTAAAATAGATAGAGGTAATTATTTCAAGAATAAGAAACACTAGAACTCTGGCATGTTTATATAATGAAATATTTAACAACAATGAATACTAACATAACCTGTAAACACATGTAATGTAGAAGAAAAAAATTGCATGTCAGAAGTAGGAAGGTCAGTAGGAAGACAGAAATTTTGGGATCCAAGTTTCACATTTGCATAATAGGTAGCAAATAAATATTTTGTAATATTGATAAGTCAATAAAAAGAGGTGAGGTATAAATACTGGAAAAGATGAAAACCAATTGATTAAATAGAGATTTTAAGATTATATATATTATATATATATATAGTTCCATAATGAATATTTTAAATTATAAAACATAGTTCATATTTGAGTTTACTACATATGAATTAAAAGCTACAGGACTCCCATTCTGCTAATGTTGATGCATATGCAACAGAACAACTATTAGAAATATAGCAGAAGCTAAAACCTGTCCAAGAAATGACTTCACATAGGCCTCTGCTGAAAGTCTTTTCACAGACCATCCTCAGTGGACACCATTCCCTGGAATCTCACACAAACAAGCATATGCATTAGTCAGTGCGTAAGATTCAGTGGGGAGAACTTGGCAGCAAGACAAAAAAGAGTCTCCAAACTTCTTTGGAAAGTGTTTTGCCACTTATCTTAAAGCTATAACTCTGCCAACTGGAGTTAGTGGGCTATTATAAATTTATATATGCATTTAATCTGCTTGGAGAATTTTTTTACTTATATGTTACGTCAACATTTCAAAACAACCTTGTAAGACACAGAATCTTCCAAGAGGAAGGCTCTTCATATGTGAGAGGCAGCTTTCCTTCTGAGGGACAGCAATGACTAGTTTGTTTGAGTACAAAACTGACAGTTGGGAAAGTCTGAAATATAATTCTGGCTTTTCTACTTCCTTAGGTTGGCCATACAGAATAAACACGAACCTGTTAAGCAAGCAGAATTTTGGAGAAAGTACACACACATTTTGAAGGAGAGCTAGAAACTCTTCTGGAATATGAGTTAGCAAAAGACCTTGAGCACCATTTCAGTGACCTTCACTAATTAGATCTGGAGGGAAACAATTGGCAAAATTAGCACACAGCCATCCTGAGGCTTTGCAAAATGAAATGAGAATGAGTTAAAAGGAGTCTGTGGAGAAGTACACAATTCTGTGAAATTATTTTGTCTTTATAATCTGAAAAGACATTTAAAGTATTGTAAATGATTGATTTTTGAAAGTAATACATTACTACAAAATTAATAAAATAATGTTGCAGTCTGAATGAAAAGTTCTTATAGAAATTTATTTTGGTGCATTCTGGAAGAGGAGTGTTAGTCTTTGATACATTTTCTATGTAGATATTGTTCCCTTTCAAGATATAACCTTCAGCTTTAGGTATCTGAAAGAGATGCTGACCCTGAATTGTTGGTTTAGGTACATTCTGCAAATAGTATGACTAGTTACTCATAGGAAATATTTGAAGGCTCTATAGTTCATAAAATTTGCTGTGGAGAGCCAAATTCACCATAGAATCTGGGAAAACTTACCTCAAGTTGTATCTTATAGAAAATGCAAATGAAACAAAGGGACCCAAGCTCTCAACAGGAAGCAACTAGGGGATTATGAGATTAAATAGAGAATATGGTAAGTTGTTAGAGTTCTCAGTAGAAGGATTTCAATGTTAAGGAGACCTTCTCTTTCAAATGGGCCATCTAAATCCTGGTTTAGGAATTGGCAGGATTATGAAATAGTTAATCAGTTCATTATATTATTTATCAGAGATTTAAGCCTCTTCAAAATGGAAGCCTAGTCTCTTAAAGGATGATTATCAAATTCAGTCGTTAGCCAAACCCTTGAAGTAGGCTAAGATATTAGGCCAGGAAATGAAAATAATTGACATAATCACATATGATTTTAGTAGTTCTAGGTCCATAACTTACAAAAGGTACAGCTGTGACCATTTCACAAATCCTAATGTGACACATCATAATCTGATTGAGGAGATCAGGACTCTTTATAATTTATAAGAAAAGGAAGGTTGATTGTAATGATTAAGCATGTTGTAGGCCCACTGTTATAGGAATGATAACAAGCTCTTTGTTATGGCCCCTTTACTGCATTCATTGCAAGAGGATTCAGTAGAACAATCATACCATGGTTTTTATGTTTATTTGTGCCGGTGTTATATGATCTAAGATTCCTTGAGCTATGTTAGACTATATTTATCACTCATTTTTTAAAACTAATCTAGATAGTGGGATTATTCCTAGGCCAAGATTTCCAATTTCTATCTTTTCGATGATGACTTCCAATCTCTGGAATCTAATTCTTGACCCTCAGACCATACATCCAATTATTTGCATCTGAACTAAGATATCTCAGAGGAGTGACTTCAGACTCATGATGTCCAAACTGAACTCACATTTTATTCAAACCTTGTCCTACTTCCCAATTTCCTGTTTTAGGGACTAGGATTGCCATGTGCCCAACTACATGGAGAATCTCTGTTCTCCTCCACCATATATCACACCTAAACCTAGATTTCCTTTTCTAACACAGGTGGGGAAAGTCATCCTTTGTTGTAATGATTAAGTGAAAAATTAAGGCTAAACACTTCACTCACTTTAAAACATTGTGAAAAACTCTTTTAGTATAGGCACACACACACATACATATACCAATATACACACACGCAAGGTTCATTTTGCAGAAGAAAAGTAACCAGAATACCATTAGCATAAGCAAACTTTAAAAAATGCTGGGTATGAGAAGACAGACTCTCAAGGAAAAATCTTGAGAAAGAGGATGGGATTCTTTATAGGGTTTTAGCAGGAGAGCATCAGATGAAGTTTAGCCAATTTCAGAGTTGGTCAAGGATGGTTCTCAGAAGAGGCAAGAATTATTCTTCAGGAGGAAGAGTTAGGGGTTAAGGTTGTGTGCAAAAGAGGGTGGGTAAGAACATCTATGGGGATAATGACATGTGAGTGCCACCGTGGAAAAATCCCTCAGTCTTCAGGGTCTCTTACAGGTTCTAAAAATAATAATAATAATAAAGGAATCCTGAATAACCTGTATACTAGAGTACAATTAGCAAACTCATGGCATCTGGTTCTTTTATAGTATTCTACATCTAAGGCTTTTGATTTGAAATCTTTCTTATTAAACCAGGGCATGCTTGTATTCATATAAATTGTTTAAATATGTCTATTTTTCATCAAAAGATCATGTTTAGAAAACATCTCCATGACCTTCTTTTAAACAGAAGTATCAAAAGTACTAATTACAAATGTATTGCACTGCATGGTGTCTACATTCAGCAGTTTATTCCTGCTGGGTGTTCAAAGGACAGTATGATATAAATTCAGTATCTGGCATTGTTAGTTGTCTTGGCTTCATGCATGTTAAACCTGGATTTTCACTGATACAGTATAAAATAAATAAAAAGATATATGTGCCAATATATATTTTATGAATGTTTCAGTATTTGTTAACAAAGCCTCTGATATATGATTGTACCTATCATTCTAAATCTAAAGGTAGAGATAAAACACAGTGTCTATGATTTCACTATTTTAAAAAAATGTGAAAGAGTCTACCTCCTTTACTTTTATTTAAAAAGTTTTTATGGTGGGTTTGGGATTAAGGTTAAAGTGTCCCCCAATTTGCAATAGCAAAATTGGTATACATACTCAAAAACAGGCATCCAATCCAGAGGAATAATACAAAATATGTTGAAATCCTTGCAATCAGAAAATGAGAAACACAATACTGAAACCTCTTGACAACCAATAGCAACACTGATGTAAGAAGGGATTTTACCAATAACTGGGATCTAGGGTGAAGTAAGACAAATGTTAGAAGAGTAATAAAAAATCATAAACAAATTTAAAATCTTGGCAGATTAAATATCTGATAGAACTAATGGGGTATTGGAATATGTGTGACAGGTTGAAGGTGTGAGAGAAGGAAAATAGGAGAAAAATGTTTAATAGGTTTGCCATAGATTCAAAATAAAATAAAATATCTAAGCAGAAGATCTGGATTCTCTATAGTTAAAAGAAGAAGAAAAAAGATGTAAGAGTAGAAGAACCATGGTCTTCTGTCAATCCACTCTGCCTTTCATTTATGTTCTCTTCCTTGTCATGTCTCCAGCTCTCTCATCTACTTATAGTCATCTCATGGTATTAAGTTTTACGTTATGCCCTGAGGCACAGTTAGTTTGGAATGCCAACAGTCTTTGAAGATTCCTCTCTAAATGCTTCATCTTACAGATTTTCAACAGGTATGTATTTTCCAACACATTAGATTGAAAAGTTTGTCAGTTGAGCAACATGAAAGTGAGAATGATTTCTTTGCATCAAGATTTTTGAACTAATAGCATAGTCATTCATTCAGCTTTGGCAAGGTTATCACAAAAATGATGTGGTGTTCTTCCTAGTACATTATATCAGGAGACAAGGGATGGTGCTTTGTCCTATATTGAAGATATTAACTTTCATTTTTTTTTTTTTTGGTAGGCGTGGCATTACCTAGGTTTCTCCATAGTGAAGTTGCCATTTTCCACTTAGTAAGTAAGAAGTAGTTTGTGGTGAGATTCTATGAGACTGAAATATCCTCTTCATCAAATTATTACTCACTATTTTAGCATTCATTGATTATTAAATATTGGTTACTAATTCCATAATTATGTGCTTATTAGTTGGTATTTTACTGTAAGAAAGAGCAACTTGCCATCACTCCTTTTTTTCTTCCCTCCCTCCATCCCTAACTTCATTCTTCTTCCTTTCCTTCTCTCTCTCTCTCTCTCTCTCTCTCTCTCTCTCTCTCTCTCTCTCTCTCTCTCTCTCTCCAAGGATTCTCATTTTATTCTATTCAATGAATTGATTATCATTATGTGTTTAGAGGTCACGATCTTCCGATTTGGCCAGTGAGAGCCCCTTTAAGTCCTTTTTCCTCCTAATATATTAGATGATCTTTGAGTGTTGTCTTACTTTCTGAGCAAAAAGATGTCCTAGAAAACGTCCTCTTCTGCTAAGATGTCCTGGAATCCAGCCTGTACTTGCCATTTAGAGTGAAAGGGAGTCAGGTTGTGTTAGGACTTCTCTGTGGCTTCCTCCTGACTTGATGCTGTGCCCCATCCAGGAGGATGAGTCAGCCCCTGTGCTTTCATTGGTATGAAATCATTTCCTCTCTGCCGGGAGCCGGTCCATGCTTGCTGTTTCAAGGTACCTGGCATATATGGCATACTGTTCTTAATATGTTTGCTCACCTTCTTGGCACTATGTGTTTTAACCAAGGTCACCTCTCTGAGAAAGGTTGTTTCCCCAGGTAGGGATTTTCCCCTGAAGTTAGGGAGGGAATAAAACCTCTTAACTAAGTGCCAGGTGGGTAATTAATCACTTTAACAATCGTGCTTAAGCTACATAATCTTTACTTCCTGGAATGAAGATAAGAAACGCCCTAACCTTTGTAATAGAGATTGATAGGATTGAATCAACTGGTATAAATACATATGCAACAAGACAGCAAGACACAGAACTTAGAACTCAGAACCTAGAACAGAACTTAGAACACAGAACTTAGAACACAGAACTTAAGACACAGAACTTAGAATATGGAACCAAGAGAGACGGAACCTAGGCACAGAACCTACACAGAACGTTCTCTAGAGACAGAAGAACTTCGCTGGAGAGAACATGGAAAAAGATACTGGACAGAAACTGGCCTCAGAACCTAGAGACAGAACCTAGCGAGAGAACATGGCAAAAGATCCTGGACTGAACCTGACTACAGAAATTGGCAAAAGAACCTGACTAGAACCTGCTGACTGAACCTGGCTGGAGAACCTAGCGAGGGAACATGGCTACAGAACCTGGCTGGAGAACCTGGAGAACCTAGCAAGAGAACATGGACTCAGAACTTGGCTGGAGATCCTGAAGCAGAACCTCTCTGGAGATCCAGACCAGAACTTGGCTGGAGATCCTGGCTGGAGATCCTGGCTAGGCTGCTGATCAACTGAACTCCGTCTCCGTGTCATTCCTTCTTCACCGACTCCATCCACACCTTTGGGGACCCCTGGACCCGCTGGGGTTGGACTCCGGCACCTCTCAGCCTAGCAGATTCATTAAAGAATCTAGAAGGTGTGTGACAGCTCTTTTAACTTCCTTAGAGGATGAAGCCTTTAGTCACTTGGTGTTTTCTCAGTCTTTGCCATGGATGTCAAAGGTGAAGAAGGCAGACAGCCTTGCTCACTATGACCTTCCTACTGGAAGCCAATTGATCAATCCATGGCTATCCAGTGAGTTATTTTATTCAAGGTAACATTTTCTTAAAAGAAAAAAATACTTGCTTTCTTCATCATTTAGGATCCTTACAAAGCCTGGGTTCATCTCAGATGGCTTATCTGAAAAGTTTTTTTTTTTTTTAAAAGTAGCACATAAAGTTGTGAGCAGGGATAAGTTAGCAAACAAGAGTTTGTGAAGCACACCAATATTAGCAATATTAGGGATCCTAATGGCCACAGAAAGGCCACAGAGTTATGGTAGGCTACTGGAGTGAGGACCATGGAGGAAGGGCTCTCAGAAGAGAACATTAATTGTGAGTGACGTAGTCACTCCCACACTTGTGGTACCAAAGCAGGGAGGCAAGGGAGGGTCAATGCAGATTTTTATCTCCTCCCATCCTCTACTCCTGATGATGATATCATTGGCCAAACCTAATCGAAGGTCAGCATGCAGGAGAACCAAGGATATGCAATAATCTGTATGAACACGGTATTAGGGTTCTCCAGACAAACAGAACCAATAGAGTCTCTCTCTCTCTCTCTCTCTCTCTCTCTCTCTCTCTCTCTCTCTCTCTCTTTCTCTCTCTCTCTCTCTCTCCCTACCTATTTTCTATCTATCTATCTATCTATCTATCTATCTATCTATCTATCTATCATCTATCTATCATATATCATGAAAGCTGGTATTATTATTCATCTGAGTCCAAAGGCCTGAGATTGGGATGGGGTGAGAGACCTGATGGTATAAATCCCACTTTGAGTCCAGATGTCCAAGGGCAGCTCAGGCAGGCCCTCCAACAGTTTGTCTATATGGGCCCTCAACAGACTGGATGATATCCATATGCATTGGAGAGGACTACTTACCTGCTTTACTCAATCTCGTGATTCAAATGCTCATCTTTTCCAGAAACACCCTCATGAACACACCCAGAAACAATGTCTCACCAGCTCTCTGAGCATCCCTTAGTCTAGTCAGGTTGACACACCAAATTAACTATTGCAAGTGAAGACAAGCCAGAGAAGGGAGGGAAACAGATTCTGTGGGCAAAGGAAGAAGAGCCAGTGCTTATTCTCAGACATAGTCTTCCTCACCATCACCGGGGACCCGGGTGCAATTTGTTCTTTAGCAAGGTTGTAGACGCCGAGTTCCCTTGCTGAATGTCTCAAAAATGCACTTTTAATTTGGTTCAAAAGAGTCTCTTACACACAAGTGGTATCATATTTACTTTGTTAGAAGGAGCTTGTACTTCTCTCCTGCTCTTGAAAAATCCAATTTGTTGTTCCACAGAGAGAAAGTATGTCAGGTGCATATGTGGATAAGGCTGTCATAAATAAGTCTCCATTCAGCTCACACAATCTAACCTGGTTAGAAGCCATCAGTTAGGGGATTTTCAGAGGGGACTGAAGTTGATTATGAGAGAACAAAGAAGCAAAAGTCATGCTATATAATAAAAATGGAAATTAGCTGAAACCCTCAGCTCTATTTGCGGAGCCAATGAGCATCCAGTTCATGTTCTGCACATCTGTTTGCTGAGGTGGATCTATAGTGATGTTCCGGGAAACGAAAATAAAGCCCAAATAGATTTCTAAGGTCATCCGCCAAACTGAAAACACATATCTTGGTCTCTCTGTGGGCAGATTTAGGGACATCCTCCTTGGGGTTTTTGTGAGGGTTGTGATTCCCTCATTTTTACAAGAACTATAAAATTACAGTATTTCCCCATTATATTTTCCCTTTTAAGCTTGGCAAGCAAACGGCACTGATCCGGTGCCAATATGATACTTAAAGCCAAATGTCTGCATTTTAGAAAATTTAATTATAAAGAAATGAAGAAATTATAAAAAGCCTGCTACCAATAGAAATGTTTTCATTAAATATATTTTCATCCAATTATGAACCCAAGCAGGTCTCTTCCCCCCCCCCCCCCTTCTCCCTTTCCTGAACCATTTTGCTGCTGTGTTTACAGCCTGGTACTGTGTCGCTGTGCTAGCAGGGGAGGCTGGGAGGCAGACGTGACCAGACACAAAGGTGATAAAGGCTTGTCTCATTTCAATGTTCAACCAGAGTGGAATGCAAACAGCAAGCGGTGCGTGACACAAAGTAAATAGGTTCTTTAAAATCCTTCTTTTCATAATCTTACATGGT